AGTGTGTATTAGTGTTAGTGTGTTAGTGTTAGTGTGTGTTAGTGTGTTAGTGTTAGTGTGAGTGTTAGTGTGTGTTAGTGTGTATTAGTGTGTATTAGTGTTAGTGTGTTAGTGTGTGTTAGTGTGTTATAGTGTTAGTGTGTGTTAGTGTGTTAGTGTGTGTTAGTGTGTTTGTGTTAGTGTTAGTGTGTTAGTGTGTGTTAGTGTGTGTTAGTGTGTTAGTGTTAGTGTGTGTTAGTGTTAGTGTGTATTAGTGTTAGTGTGTATTAGTGTTATAGTGTTAGTGTGTGTTAGTGTGTTATACTGTAGTGTGTGTTAGTGTGTTAGTGTTAGTGTGTTAGTGAGTGTTAGTGTGTTAGTGTGAGTGTGTTAGTGTGTGTTAGTGTTAGTGTGTGTTAGTGTGTTATAGTGTTAGTGTGTGTTAGTGTGTGTTAGTGTGTTATACTGTAGTGTGTGTTAGTGTGTTATACTGTAGTGTGTGTTAGTGTGTGTTAGTGTGTTATACTGTAGTGTGTGTTAGTGTGTTATACTGTAGTGTGTGTTAGTGTGAGTGTGTTAGTGTGTTAGTGTTAGTGTGTGTTAGTGTGTTAGTGTTAGTGTGTGTTAGTGTGTTATAGTGTTAGTGTGTGTTAGTGTTAGTGTGTGTTAGTGTGAGTGTTAGTGTGTGTTAGTGTGTGTTAGTGTTAGTGTGTGTTAGTGTGAGTGTTAGTGTGTTAGTGTGTGTTAGTGTGTTAGTGTGTGTTAGTGTGTGTTAGTGTGTTAGTGTGTGTTAGTGTGTTAGTGTTAGTGTGTGTTAGTGTGTTATAGTGTTAGTGTGTGTTAGTGTTAGTGTGTGTTAGTGTGAGTGTTAGTGTGTGTTAGTGTGTGTTAGTGTGAGTGTTAGTGTGTTAGTGTGTGTTAGTGTGTTAGTGTGTGTTAGTGTGTTATAGTGTTAGTGTGTGTTAGTGTTAGTGTGTGTTAGTGTGAGTGTTAGTGTGTGTTAGTGTGTGTTAGTGTTAGTGTGTGTTAGTGTGAGTGTTAGTGTGTTAGTGTGTGTTAGTGTGTTAGTGTGTGTTAGTGTTAGTGTGTGTTAGTGTGTTATAGTGTTAGTGTGTGTTAGTGTTAGTGTGAGTGTTAGTGTGTGTTAGTGTTAGTGTGTGTTAGTGTGAGTGTTAGTGTGTTAGTGTGTGTTAGTGTGTGTTAGTGTTAGTGTGTTAGTGTGTGTTAGTGTGTGTTAGTGTGTTAGTGTGTTATACTGTAGTGTGTGTTAGTGTGTGTGTTAGTGAGTGTTAGTGTGTTAGTGTGAGTGTTAGTGTGTTAGTGTGTGTTAGTGTTAGTGTGTTAGTGTGTTATAGTGTTAGTGTGTTAGTGTGTTATAGTGTTATAGTGTTAGTGTGTGTTAGTGTGTGTTAGTGTGTGTCAGTGTGAGTGTTAGTGTGTGTTAGTGTTAGTGTGTTAGTGTGTGTTAGTGTGTGTTAGTGTGTGTTAGTGTGTGTGTTAGTGTTAGTGTGTGTGTTAGTGTGTGTGTTAGTGTGTTAGTGTGTGTGAGTGTGTGTGAGTGTTAGTGTGAGTGTGTTAGTGTGTGTGTTAGTGTGTTAGTGTGTGTTAGTGTGTGAGTGTGTGTTAGTGTGTGTTAGTGTGTGAGTGTGTGTTAGTGTTAGTGTGTGTTAGTGTGTGTTAGTGTGTGTTAGTGTGAGTGTGTTAGTGTGTGTGTTAGTGTGTTAGTGTGTGTTAGTGTTAGTGTGTGTTAGTGTGTGTTAGTGTGTGTTAGTGTGTGTTAGTGTGTTAGTGTGTTATAGTGTTAGTGTGTGAGTGTGTGTTAGTGAGTGTTAGTGTGTTATACTGTAGTGTGTGTTAGTGTGAGTGTGTTAGTGTGTGTGTTAGTGTGTTAGTGTGTGTTAGTGTTAGTGTGTGAGTGTGTGTTAGTGTGTGTTAGTGTTAGTGTGTGTTAGTGTGTGTTAGTGTGAGTGTGTTAGTGTGTGTGTTAGTGTGTGTTAGTGTGTGAGTGTGTGTTAGTGTGTGAGTGTGTGTTAGTGTTAGTGTGTGTTAGTGTGTGTTAGTGTGTGTTAGTGTGAGTGTGTTAGTGTGTGTGTTAGTGTGTTAGTGTGTGTTAGTGTGTGAGTGTGTGTTAGTGTGTGTTAGTGTGTGAGTGTGTGTTAGTGTGTGTTAGTGTTAGTGTGTGTTAGTGTGTGTTAGTGTGAGTGTGTTAGTGTGTGTGTTAGTGTGTTAGTGTGTGAGTGTGTGTTAGTGTGTGAGTGTGTGTTAGTGTTAGTGTGTGTTAGTGTGTGTTAGTGTGTGTTAGTGTGAGTGTGTTAGTGTGTGTTAGTGTGTTAGTGTGTGAGTGTGTGTTAGTGTGTGTTAGTGTGTGTTAGTGTGTGAGTGTGTGTTAGTGTTAGTGTGTGTTAGTGTGTGTTAGTGTGAGTGTGTTAGTGTGTGTGTTAGTGTGTTAGTGTGTGTTAGTGTTAGTGTGTGTTAGTGTGTGTTAGTGTGAGTGTGTTAGTGTGGTGTTAGTGTTATAGTGTGTTAGTGTGTGGTAGTGCAGCGAGTGCGTCACCTCGGGGTGGTTGCGTGAGGCTGCGTAGTGTGTGTTAGTGTGTTAGTGTGTGTTAGTGTGTTAGTGTGTGTTAGTGTGTGTTAGTGTGTGTTAGTGTGTGTTAGTGTGTGTTAGTGTTAGTGTTAGTGTGTTATACTGTAGTGTGTGTTAGTGTGAGTGTGTTAGTGTGGTGTTAGTGTTATAGTGTGTTAGTGTGTGGTAGTGCAGCGAGTGCGTCACCTCGGGGTGGTTGCGTGAGGCTGCGTAGTGTGTGTTAGTGTGTTATAGTGTTAGTGTGTGTTAGTGTGTTATACTGTAGTGTTAGTGTGTTAGTGTGTGTTAGTGTTAGTGTGTTAGTGTTAGTGTGTTATAGTGTTAGTGTGTGTGTTAGTGTGTTATAGTGTTAGTGTGTGTTAGTGTGTTATACTGTAGTGTTAGTGTGTTAGTGTGTGTTAGTGTTAGTGTGTTAGTGTTAGTGTGTTATAGTGTTAGTGTGTGTTAGTGTTAGTGTGTGTTAGTGTGTGGTGTTAGTGAGTGTTAGTGTGTTAGTGAGTGTTAGTGTGTGTGTGTTAGTGTGTGTTAGTGTGTGTTAGTGTGTGTTAGTGTGTGTTAGTGTGTTAGTGTGTGTTAGTGTGTGTGTTAGTGTGTTAGTGTGTGTTAGTGTGTGGTAGTGCAGCGTGTGCGTCACCTCGGGGTGGTTGCGTGAGGCTGCGTAGTGTTAGTGTTAGTGTGTTATACTGTAGTGTGTGAGTGTGTTAGTGTGTGTTAGTGTGTGTTAGTGTGTGTTAGTGTGTGTGTGGTAGTGTGAGTGTGTTAGTGTGTGTGTTAGTGTGTTAGTGTGTGTTAGTGTGTGTTAGTGCAGCGAGTGCGTCACCTCGGGGTGGTTGCGTGAGGCTGCGTAGTGTGTGTTAGCGTGTGTTAGTGTTAGTGTGTGTTAGTGTGTTATAGTGTTAGTGTGTTATAGTGTGTTAGTGTGTGTTAGTGTTAGTGTGTTAGTGTGTGTTAGTGTGTGTTAGTGTGTGTTAGTGCAGCGAGTGCGTCACCTCGGGGTGGTTGCGTGAGGCTGCGTAGTGTTAGTGTTAGTGTGTTATACTGTAGTGTGTGAGTGTGTTAGTGTGTGTTAGTGTGTGTTAGTGTGTGTTAGTGTGTGTTAGTGCAGCGAGTGCGTCACCTCGGGGTGGTTGCGTGAGGCTGCGTAGTGTGTGTTAGTGTGTGTTAGTGTGTGTGTGTTAGTGTGTGTTAGTGTTAGTGTGTTATAGTGTGTTATAGTGTTAGTGTGTGTTAGTGTTAGTGTGTTATAGTGTGTTATAGTGTTAGTGTGTGTTAGTGTTAGTGTGTTATAGTGTGTTATAGTGTTAGTGTGTGTTAGTGTTAGTGTGTTATAGTGTGTTAGTGTGTTAGTGTGTGTTAGTGTTAGTCTGTTATAGTGTGTTAGTGTGTGTTAGTGCAGCGAGTGCGTCACCTCGGGGTGGCTGCGTGAGGCTGCGTAGTGTGTGTTAGTGTGTGTTAGTGTGTTAGTGTGTGTGTTAGTGTGTTATACTGTAGTGTGTGTTAGTGTGTGTGAGTGTTAGTGTGTGTTAGTGTGTGTTAGTGTGTGTTAGTGTTAGTGTGTTATAGTGTTAGTGTGTGTTAGTGTGTTATAGTGTTAGTGTGTGTTATAGTGTTAGTGTGTTATAGTGTGTTAGTGTGTGTTAGTGCAGCGAGTGCGTCACCTCGGGGTGGTTGCGTGAGGCTGCGTAGTGTTAGTGTGTTATAGTGTTAGTGTGTTAGTGTTAGTGTGTGTTAGTGTGTGTTAGTGTGTGTTAGTGCAGCGAGTGCGTCACCTCGGGGTGGTTGCGTGAGGCTGCGTAGTGTGTGTTAGTGTGTTATAGTGTTAGTGTGTTAGTGTTAGTGTGTGTTAGTGTGAGTGTTAGTGTGTGTTAGTGTTAGTGTGTGAGTGAGTGTGTTAGTGTGTTATAGTGTTAGTGTGTGTTAGTGCAGCGAGTGCGTCACCTCGGGGTGGTTGCGTGAGGCTGCGTAGTGTTAGTGTGTTATAGTGTTAGTGTGTTAGTGTTAGTGTGTGTTAGTGTGTGTTAGTGTGTGTTAGTGCAGCGAGTGCGTCACCTCGGGGTGGTTGCGTGAGGCTGCGTAGTGTGTGTTAGTGTGTTATAGTGTTAGTGTGTTAGTGTTAGTGTGTGTTAGTGTGAGTGTTAGTGTGTGTTAGTGTTAGTGTGTGAGTGAGTGTGTTAGTGTGTTATAGTGTGTTAGTGTGTGTTAGTGCAGCGAGTGCGTCACCTCGGGGTGGTTGCGTGAGGCTGCGTAGTGTTAGTGTGTTATAGTGTTAGTGTGTTAGTGTTAGTGTGTGTTAGTGTGTGTTAGTGTGTGTTAGTGCAGCGAGTGCGTCACCTCGGGGTGGTTGCGTGAGGCTGCGTAGTGTGTGTTAGTGTGTGTTAGTGTGTGTTATAGTGTTAGTGTGTGTTAGTGTGTGTTAGTGCAGCGAGTGCGTCACCTCGGGGTGGTTGCGTGAGGCTGCGTAGTGCAGCGCCGTCTGCCCCGTGCGGTTGCGAGCGTTCACCTGGGCACGGTGGCCCAGCAGCTCACCAACGATGGCCTCCCTGCCGGCTGATGCAGCGATGTGCAGGGGGGTCCACTCCATCTGGGGGGGGGGGGGGGGGTGGGGGGAGTAGGGGGGGGGAGTGGGGGGGGGGAGTGGGGGGAGAGAGGGGGGCGAGAGGGGGGGGAGAGATCAGAATGTGTCATTGTGGTGGAGGAATCTGATAAGCTGTGAAGCTCTTTTGCACAGATTGGGGGGGAGGTGTAGGAGAGTGGGGGGGGGGGGGGAGTGGGGGGGGGAGTGGAGTGGGGGGGGTAGTGGGGGGGGGGAGTGGGGGAGTGGGGGGAGAAGGGAGAGTTGAGAGCGGAATCGTAATGTGTCATTGTAGTGGACGAATCTGATAAGTAGTGAAGCTCTTTTGCACAGATTGGGGGGGGGGAGTGGTGGGGGGGGAGTGGTGGGGGGGGGGGGTGGTGGGGGGGGGAGTAGGGGGGGGAGTGGGGGGGGGTGGTGGGGGAATGGGGGGGGGGGAGATGAGAGCAGAATCGGAATGTGTCATTGTGGTGGAGGAATCTGATAAGCTGTGAAGCTCTTTTGCACAGAGAGAGGGGTGGGTGGGGGATATTTTATTCTGGAGGAATCTGACAAAGAGGTCTACCGCTCAGACAGGGGTGGTGGAGCAAATCGCGATAAAACTTTAACTAAACAATTTTATTTATTTTAACCGGGTCAAGGATTCTAGATTTGAAGCTTTCGTGACTGCAAGGATCCATACTCTTTGGTTCTATTCGGTAAAGTCACGTAGTGGGTAAAAAATAAAATAAAACGAAAAAATCACGACGTTTCGGCCACAACACAAGCGGCCTTCATCAGGCGAAGGGATCAGGCTGTCTGGAGGACAGCGCTGGAGTGAAACACAGCCACGCTCAGACCGCGACCTTGTTTCCTCGCACACAGCTTAAAGGTCGCGGTCTGAGCGTGGCTGTGTTTCACTCCAGCACTGTCCTCGAGACAGCCTGATCCCTTCACCTGATGAAGGCCGCTTGTGTTGTGGCCGAAACGTCGTGATTTTTGTTGTTGTTTTATTTTTCAAGGATTCTTCTTTAGTCAGAATCGACCAGCTGGACGTCACAAATCAGAGCAGCTCGACCACGTGGTGGCTCATCGTCATCGTCGTCGTCATCGTCGTCATCATCATCATCGTCATCGTCGTCATCATCATCGTTATCGTCATCATCGTCGTCGTCGTCATCGTCGTCGTCATCGTCGTCATCATCGTCGTCATCATCATCGTTAATCATCATTGTTATCGTCGTCATCGTCGTCATCGTCGTCGTCGTCGTCATCATCATCATCGTCGTCATCGACGACGATAATGACGTCGTTGTTGTTGAGTGTCGTTGTTGTTGAGTGTTGTTGTTGTTGTTGAGTGTTGTTGTTGAGTGTTGTTGTTGTTGAGTGTTGTTGAGTGTTGTTGTCGAGTGTTGTTGTTGTTGTTGAGTGTTGTTGTTGTTGTTGTTGAGTGTTGTTGAGTGTTGTTGTTGAGTGTTGTTGTTGTTGAGTGTTGTTGAGTGTTGTTGAGTGTTATTGTTGTTGTTGAGTGTTGTTGAGTGTTGTTGTTGTTGAGTGTTGTTGTTGTTGTTGTTGAGTGTTGTTGAGTGTTGTTGTTGTTGAGTGTTGTTGTTGTTGTTGAGTGTTGTTGAGTGTTGTTGTTGTTGAGTGTTGTTGCTGAGTGTTGTTGTTGTTGAGTGTTGTTGTTGAGTGTTGTTGTTGAGTGTCGTTGTTGAGTGTTGTTGTTGAGTGTCGTTGTTGAGTGATGTTGTTGAGTGTTGTTGTTGAGTGTTGTTGTTGTTGAGTGTTGTTGTTGTTGAGTGTTGTTGTTGTTGCTGGGTGTTGTTGTTGAGTGTTGTTGTTGCTGAGTGTTGTTGTTGTTGTTGAGTGTTGTTGTTGTTGAGTGTCGTTGTTGTTGTTGAGTGTTGTTGTTGTTGAGTGTTGTTGTTGAGTGTTGTTGTTGAGTGTTGTTGTTGCTGAGTGTTGTTGTTGAGTGTTGTTGTTGAGTGTTGTTGTTGAGTGTTGTTGTTGAGTGTTGTTGTTGAGTGTTGTTGTTGTTGAGTGTTGTTGTTGAGTGTTGTTGTTGAGTGTTGTTGTTGAGTGTCGCTGTTGAGTGTCGTTGTTGTTGAGTGTTGTTGTTGTTGAGTGTCGTTGTTGTTGAGTGTTGTTGTTGTTGAGTGTTGTTGTTGTTGTTGAGTGTTGTTGTTGTTGAGTGTTGTTGTTGTTGAGTGTCGTTGTTGTTGAGTGTCGTTGTTGTTGAGTGTTGTTGTTGAGTGTTGTTGTTGAGTGTTGTTGTTGTTGAGTGTTGTTGTTGAGTGTTGTTGTTGTTGAGTGTTGTTGTTGAGTGTTGTTGTTGTTGAGTGTCGTTGTTGAGTGTTGTTGTTGAGTGTCGTTGTTGAGTGTTGTTGTTGTTGAGTGTTGTTGTTGTTGAGTGTTGTTGTTGTTGAGTGTTGTTGTTGTTGAGTGTTGTTGTTGTTGAGTGTTGTTGTTGTTGAGTGTTGTTGTTGTTGAGTGTTGTTGTTGAGTGTTGTTGTTGTTGAGTGTCGTTGTTGAGTGTTGTTGTTGTTGAGTGTTGTTGTTGAGTGTTGTTGTTGAGTGTTGTTGTTGTTGAGTGTCGTTGTTGAGTGTTGTTGTTGAGTGTCGTTGTTGAGTGTTGTTGTTGTTGAGTGTTGTTGTTGTTGAGTGTTGTTGTTGTTGAGTGTTGTTGTTGTTGAGTGTTGTTGTTGTTGAGTGTTGTTGTTGTTGAGTGTTGTTGTTGTTGAGTGTTGTTGTTGAGTGTTGTTGTTGTTGAGTGTTGTTGTTGAGTGTTGTTGTTGTTGAGTGTTGTTGTTGAGTGTTGTTGTTGAGTGTTGTTGTTGAGTGTTGTTGAGTGTTGTTGTTGTTGAGTGTTGTTGTTGAGTGTTGTTGTTGAGTGTTGTTGTTGTTGCTGAGTGTTGTTGCTGAGTGTTGTTGTTGTTGAGTGTTGTTGTTGTTGAGTGTTGTTGAGTGTTGTTGTTGAGTTGTTGTTGAGTGTTGTTGTTGAGTGTTGTTGTTGTTGAGTGTTGTTGTTGTTGAGTGTTGTTGTTGTTGAGTGTTGTTGTTGTTGAGTGTTGTTGTTGTTGTGAGTGTCGTCGTTGTTGCTGAGTGTTGTTGTTGTTGAGTGTTGTTGAGTGTTGTTGTTGAGTTGTTGTTGAGTGTTGTTGTTGAGTGTTGTTGTTGTTGAGTGTTGTTGTTGTTGAGTGTTGTTGAGTGTTGTTGTTGAGTTGTTGTTGAGTGTTGTTGTTGAGTGTTGTTGTTGTTGAGTGTTGTTGAGTGTTGTTGTCGAGTGTTGTTGTTGTTGAGTGTTGTTGTTGTTGAGTGTTGTTGTTGTTGAGTGTTGTTGAGTGTTGTTGTCGAGTGTTGTTGTTGTTGAGTGTTGTTGTTGAGTGTTGTTGAGTGTTGTTGTTGAGTGTTGTTGTTGTTGTTGAGTGTTGTTGAGTGTTGTTGAGTGTTGTTGAGTGTTGTTGTTGTTGAGTGTTGTTGAGTGTTGTTGTTGTTGTTGAGTGTTGTTGTTGTTGAGTGTTGTTGAGTGTTGTTGTTGTTGTTGAGTGTTGTTGAGTGTTGTTGTTGTTGAGTGTTGTTGTTGTTGTTGAGTGTTGTTGAGTTGTTGTTGTTGTTGTTGAGTGTTGTTGCTGAGTGTTGTTGTTGTTGAGTGTTGTTGTTGAGTGTTGTTGTTGAGTGTCGTTGTTGAGTGTTGTTGTTGTTGAGTGTTGTTGTTGTTGAGTGTTGTTGTTGAGTGTTGTTGTTGTTGAGTGTTGTTGTTGTTGAGTGTTGTTGTTGTTGAGTGTTGTTGTTGAGTGTTGTTGTTGAGTGTTGTTGTTGTTGAGTGTCGTTGTTGAGTGTTGTTGTTGTTGAGTGTTGTTGTTGAGTGTTGTTGTTGAGTGTTGTTGTTGAGTGTTGTTGAGTGTTGTTGTTGTTGAGTGTTGTTGTTGAGTGTTGTTGTTGAGTGTTGTTGTTGTTGCTGAGTGTTGTTGCTGAGTGTTGTTGTTGTTGAGTGTTGTTGTTGTTGAGTGTTGTTGAGTGTTGTTGTTGAGTTGTTGTTGAGTGTTGTTGTTGAGTGTTGTTGTTGTTGAGTGTTGTTGTTGTTGAGTGTTGTTGTTGTTGAGTGTTGTTGTTGTTGAGTGTTGTTGTTGTTGAGTGTTGTTGTTGTTGTTGAGTGTCGTCGTTGTTGCTGAGTGTTGTTGTTGTTGAGTGTTGTTGAGTGTTGTTGTTGAGTTGTTGTTGAGTGTTGTTGTTGAGTGTTGTTGTTGTTGTTGAGTGTTGTTGTTGTTGAGTGTTGTTGAGTGTTGTTGTTGAGTTGTTGTTGAGTGTTGTTGTTGAGTGTTGTTGTTGTTGAGTGTTGTTGAGTGTTGTTGTTGTTGAGTGTTGTTGTTGTTGAGTGTTGTTGTTGTTGAGTGTTGTTGAGTGTTGTTGTCGAGTGTTGTTGTTGTTGAGTGTTGTTGTTGAGTGTTGTTGAGTGTTGTTGTTGAGTGTTGTTGTTGTTGTTGAGTGTTGTTGAGTGTTGTTGAGTGTTGTTGTTGTTGTTGAGTGTTGTTGAGTGTTGTTGTTGTTGAGTGTTGTTGTTGTTGAGTGTTGTTGAGTGTTGTTGTTGTTGTTGTTGAGTGTTGTTGAGTGTTGTTGTTGTTGAGTGTTGTTGTTGTTGTTGTTGAGTGTTGTTGAGTTGTTGTTGTTGTTGTTGAGTGTTGTTGCTGAGTGTTGTTGTTGTTGAGTGTTGTTGTTGAGTGTTGTTGTTGAGTGTCGTTGTTGAGTGTTGTTGTTGAGTGTCGTTGTTGAGTGATGTTGTTGAGTGTTGTTGTTGAGTGTTGTTGTTGTTGAGTGTTGTTGTTGTTGCTGGGTGTTGTTGTTGAGTGTTGTTGTTGCTGAGTGTTGTTGTTGTTGTTGAGTGTTGTTGTTGTTGAGTGTCGTTGTTGTTGAGTGTTGTTGTTGTTGTTGAGTGTTGTTGTTGTTGTTGAGTGTTGTTGTTGAGTGTTGTTGTTGAGTGTTGTTGTTGAGTGTTGTTGTTGCTGAGTGTTGTTGTTGAGTGTTGTTGTTGAGTGTTGTTGTTGAGTGTTGTTGTTGTTGAGTGTTGTTGTTGAGTGTTGTTGTTGTTGAGTGTTGTTGTTGAGTGTTGTTGTTGAGTGTTGTTGTTGAGTGTCGCTGTTGAGTGTCGTTGTTGTTGAGTGTTGTTGTTGAGTGTCGTTGTTGTTGAGTGTTGTTGTTGAGTGTTGTTGTTGTTGTTGAGTGTTGTTGTTGTTGAGTGTTGTTGTTGAGTGTCGTTGTTGTTGAGTGTCGTTGTTGTTGAGTGTTGTTGTTGTTGAGTGTTGTTGTTGTTGAGTGTTGTTGTTGAGTGTTGTTGTTGAGTGTTGTTGTTGTTGTTGAGTGTTGTTGTTGTTGAGTGTTGTTGTTGAGTGTTGTTGTTGTTGAGTGTCGTTGTTGAGTGTTGTTGTTGAGTGTCGTTGTTGAGTGTTGTTGTTGTTGAGTGTTGTTGTTGTTGAGTGTTGTTGTTGAGTGTTGTTGTTGAGTGTTGTTGTTGAGTGTTGTTGAGTGTTGTTGTTGTTGAGTGTCGTTGTTGAGTGTTGTTGTTGTTGAGTGTTGTTGTTGAGTGTTGTTGTTGAGTGTTGTTGTTGAGTGTTGTTGAGTGTTGTTGTTGTTGAGTGTTGTTGTTGAGTGTTGTTGTTGAGTGTTGTTGTTGTTGCTGAGTGTTGTTGCTGAGTGTTGTTGTTGTTGAGTGTTGTTGTTGTTGAGTGTTGTTGAGTGTTGTTGTTGAGTTGTTGTTGAGTGTTGTTGTTGAGTGTTGTTGTTGTTGAGTGTTGTTGTTGTTGAGTGTTGTTGTTGAGTGTTGTTGTTGTTGAGTGTTGTTGTTGAGTGTCGTCGTTGTTGCTGAGTGTTGTTGTTGTTGAGTGTTGTTGAGTGTTGTTGTTGAGTTGTTGTTGAGTGTTGTTGTTGAGTGTTGTTGTTGTTGAGTGTTGTTGTTGTTGAGTGTTGTTGAGTGTTGTTGTTGAGTTGTTGTTGAGTGTTGTTGTTGAGTGTTGTTGAGTGTTGTTGTCGAGTGTTGTTGTTGTTGAGTGTTGTTGTTGTTGAGTGTTGTTGTTGTTGAGTGTTGTTGAGTGTTGTTGTCGAGTGTTGTTGTTGTTGAGTGTTGTTGTTGTTGAGTGTTGTTGAGTGTTGTTGTTGAGTGTTGTTGTTGTTGAGTGTTGTTGAGTGTTGTTGAGTGTTGTTGTTGTTGTTGTTGAGTGTTGTTGAGTGTTGTTGTTGAGTGTTGTTGTTGAGTGTTGTTGAGTGTTGTTGTTGTGTGTTGTTGTTGTTGAGTGTTGTTGTTGTTGAGTGTTGTTGAGTTGTTGTTGTTGTTGAGTGTTGTTGCTGAGTGTTGTTGTTGTTGAGTGTCGTTGTTGAGTGTTGTTGTTGAGTGTCGTTGTTGAGTGTTGTTGTTGTTGAGTGTTGTTGTTGTTGAGTGTTGTTGTTGAGTGTTGTTGTTGAGTGTTGTTGTTGTTGAGTGTTGTTGTTGTTGAGTGTTGTTGTTGTTGAGTGTTGTTGTTGAGTGTTGTTGTTGTTGAGTGTCGTTGTTGAGTGTTGTTGTTGTTGAGTGTTGTTGTTGAGTGTTGTTGTTGAGTGTTGTTGAGTGTTGTTGTTGTTGAGTGTTGTTGTTGAGTGTTGTTGTTGAGTGTTGTTGTTGTTGCTGAGTGTTGTTGCTGAGTGTTGTTGTTGAGTGTTGTTGTTGTTGAGTGTTGTTGAGTGTTGTTGTTGAGTTGTTGTTGAGTGTTGTTGTTGAGTGTTGTTGTTGTTGAGTGTTGTTGTTGTTGAGTGTTGTTGTTGTTGAGTGTTGTTGTTGTTGAGTGTTGTTGTTGTTGTTGAGTGTCGTCGTTGTTGCTGAGTGTTGTTGTTGTTGAGTGTTGTTGTTGTTGAGTGTTGTTGAGTGTTGTTGTTGAGTTGTTGTTGAGTGTTGTTGTTGAGTTGTTGTTGAGTGTTGTTGTTGAGTGTTGTTGTTGAGTGTTGTTGTTGTTGTTGAGTGTCGTTGTTGTTGAGTGTTGTTGTTGTTGAGTGTTGTTGTTGTCATTGCGAGCCACGTGGGACCCCCCCTACGTCATCACGTGCGTCCACGGGCACCCCGAGTGACAGCAGGAAGACAGCCACGTCCCAGTGGCCCGCAGACGCTGCCCAGTGCAGGGGAGTGCGCTGGGCCTGCAGAAAACAACAACACGGGATGTTGACTACCTCGCCTGGTACGCAGGAGGTCGTGGGTTCGATCCCTACCCTGTGGATGTCTGTGATTATCGAGATGTTGACTACCTCGCCTGGTACGCAGGAGGTCGTGGGCTCCATACAGACCCTGACGATGTCTGTGATTATCGAGATGTTGACTACCTCGCCTGGTACGCAGGAGGTCGTGGGCTCCATACAGACCCTGACGATGTCTGTGATTATCGAGATGTTGACTACCTCGCCTGGTACGCAGGACGTCGTGGGCTCCATACAGACCCTGACGATGTCTGTGATTATCGAGATGTTGACTACCTCGCCTGGTGCGCAGGAGGTCGTGAGTTCGATCCCTACCCTGTGGATGTCTGTGATTATCGAGATGTTGACTACCTCGCCTGGTACGCAGGACGTCGTGGGTTCGATCCCTACTCTGTGGATGTCTGTGATTATCGAGATGTTGACTACCTCGCCTGGTACGCAGGAGGTCGTGGGTTCGATCCCTACCCTGTGGGTGTCTGTGATTATCGAGATGTTGACTACCTCGCCTGGTACGCAGGACGTCGTGGGCTCCATACAGACCCTGACGATGTCTGTGATTATCGAGATGTTGACTACCTCGCCTGGTACACAGGAGGTCGTGGGTTCGATCCCTACCCTGTGGATGTCTGTGATTATCGAGATGTTGACTACCTCGCCTGGTACGCAGGAGGTCGTGGGTTCGATCCCTACCCTGTGGATGTCTGTGATTATCGAGATGTTGACTACCTCACCTGGTGCGCAGGAGGTCGTGGGTTCCATACAGACCCTGACGATGTCTGTGATTATCGAGATGTTGACTACCTCACCTGGTACACAGGAGGTCGTGGGCTCCATACAGACCCTGACGATGTCTGTGATTATCGAGATGTTGACTACCTCGCCTGGTACGCAGGACGTCGTGGGCTCCATACAGACCCTGACGATGTCTGTGATTATCGAGATGTTGACTACCTCGCCTGGTACGCAGGACGTCGTGGGCTCCATACAGACCCGGACGATGTCTGTGATTATCGAGATGTTGACTACCTCGCCTGGTACGCAGGACGTCATGGGCTCCATACAGACCCTGTGGATGTCTGTGATTATCGAGATGTTGACTACCTCGCCTGGTACGCAGGAGGTCGTGGGTTCGATCCCTACCCTGTGGATGTCTGTGATTATCGAGATGTTGACTACCTCGCCTGGTACGCAGGACGTCGTGGGCTCCATACAGACCCTGACGATGTCTGTGATTATCGAGATGTTGACTACCTCGCCTGGTACGCAGGAGGTCGTGGGTTCGATCCCTACCCTGTGGATGTCTGTGATTATCGAGATGTTGACTACCTCGCCTGGTACGCAGGACGTCGTGGGCTCCATACAGACCCTGACGATGTCTGTGATTATCGAGATGTTGACTACCTCGCCTGGTACGCAGGACGCCGTGGGCTCCATACAGACTCTGACGATGTCTGTGATTATCGAGATGTTGACTACCTCGCCTGGTACGCAGGACGTCGTGGGCTCCATACAGACCCTGACAATGTCTGTGATTATCGAGATGTTGACTACCTCGCCTGGTACGCAGGACGCCGTGGGCTCCATACAGACCCTGACGATGTCTGTGATTATCGAGATGTTGACTACCTCGCCTGGTACACAGGAGGTCGTGGGTTCCATACAGACTCTGACGATGTCTGTGATTATCGAGATGTTGACTACCTCGCCTGGTACGCAGGACGTCGTGGGTTCGATCCCTACCCTGTGGATGTCTGTGATTATCGAGATGTTGACTACCTCGCCTGGTACGCAGGAGGTCGTGGGTTCGATCCCTACCCTGTGGGTGTCTGTGATTATCGAGATGTTGACTACCTCGCCTGGTATGCAGGACGTCGTGGGCTCCATACAGACCCTGACGATGTCTGTGATTATCGAGATGTTGACTACCTCGCCTGGTACACAGGAGGTCGTGGGTTCGATCCCTACCCTGTGGATGTCTGTGATTATCGAGATGTTGACTACCTCGCCTGGTACGCAGGAGGTCGTGGGTTCGATCCCTACCCTGTGGATGTCTGTGATTATCGAGATGTTGACTACCTCGCCTGGTGCGCAGGAGGTCGTGAGTTCGATCCCTACCCTGTGGATGTCTGTGATTATCGAGATGTTGACTACCTCGCCTGGTACGCAGGACGTCGTGGGTTCGATCCCTACTCTGTGGATGTCTGTGATTATCGAGATGTTGACTACCTCGCCTGGTACGCAGGAGGTCGTGGGTTCGATCCCTACCCTGTGGGTGTCTGTGATTATCGAGATGTTGACTACCTCGCCTGGTACGCAGGACGTCGTGGGCTCCATACAGACCCTGACGATGTCTGTGATTATCGAGATGTTGACTACCTCGCCTGGTACACAGGAGGTCGTGGGTTCGATCCCTACCCTGTGGATGTCTGTGATTATCGAGATGTTGACTACCTCGCCTGGTACGCAGGAGGTCGTGGGTTCGATCCCTACCCTGTGGATGTCTGTGATTATCGAGATGTTGACTACCTCACCTGGTGCGCAGGAGGTCGTGGGTTCCATACAGACCCTGACGATGTCTGTGATTATCGAGATGTTGACTACCTCGCCTGGTACACAGGAGGTCGTGGGCTCCATACAGACCCTGACGATGTCTGTGATTATCGAGATGTTGACTACCTCGCCTGGTACGCAGGACGTCGTGGGCTCCATACAGACCCTGACGATGTCTGTGATTATCGAGATGTTGACTACCTCGCCTGGTACACAGGAGGTCGTGGGTTCGATCCCTACCCTGTGGATGTCTGTGATTATCGAGATGTTGACTACCTCGCCTGGTACGCAGGAGGTCGTGGGTTCGATCCCTACCCTGTGGATGTCTGTGATTATCGAGATGTTGACTACCTCACCTGGTGCGCAGGAGGTCGTGGGTTCCATACAGACCCTGACGATGTCTGTGATTATCGAGATGTTGACTACCTCGCCTGGTACGCAGGACGTCGTGGGCTCCATACAGACCCGGACGATGTCTGTGATTATCGAGATGTTGACTACCTCGCCTGGTACGCAGGACGTCATGGGCTCCATACAGACCCTGTGGATGTCTGTGATTATCGAGATGTTGACTACCTCGCCTGGTACGCAGGAGGTCGTGGGTTCGATCCCTACCCTGTGGATGTCTGTGATTATCGAGATGTTGACTACCTCGCCTGGTACGCAGGAGGTCGTGGGCTCCATACAGACCCTGACGATGTCTGTGATTATCGAGATGTTGACTACCTCGCCTGGTACGCAGGAGGTCGTGGGTTCGATCCCTACCCTGTGGATGTCTGTGATTATCGAGATGTTGACTACCTCGCCTGGTACGCAGGACGTCGTGGGCTCCATACAGACCCTGACGATGTCTGTGATTATCGAGATGTTGACTACCTCGCCTGGTACGCAGGACGCCGTGGGCTCCATACAGACTCTGACGATGTCTGTGATTATCGAGATGTTGACTACCTCGCCTGATACGCAGGACGTCGTGGGCTCCATACAGACCCTGACAATGTCTGTGATTATCGAGATGTTGACTACCTCGCCTGGTACGCAGGACGCCGTGGGCTCCATACAGACCCTGACGATGTCTGTGATTATCGAGATGTTGACTACCTCGCCTGGTACACAGGAGGTCGTGGGTTCCATACAGACCCTGACGATGTCTGTGATTATCGAGATGTTGACTACCTCGCCTGGTACGCAGGACGTCGTGGGTTCGATCCCTACCCTGTGGATGTCTGTGATTATCGAGATGTTGACTACCTCGCCTGGTACGCAGGAGGTCGTGGGTTCGATCCCTACCCTGTGGGTGTCTGTGATTATCGAGATGTTGACTACCTCGCCTGGTATGCAGGACGTCGTGGGCTCCATACAGACCCTGACGATGTCTGTGATTATCGAGATGTTGACTACCTCGCCTGGTACACAGGAGGTCGTGGGTTCGATCCCTACCCTGTGGATGTCTGTGATTATCGAGATGTTGACTACCTCGCCTGGTACGCAGGAGGTCGTGGGTTCGATCCCTACCCTGTGGATGTCTGTGATTATCGAGATGTTGACTACCTCACCTGGTACGCAGGACGTCGTGGGTTCGATCCCTACCCTGTGGATGTCTGTGATTATCGAGATGTTGATTACCTCGCCTGGTACGCAGGAGGTCGTGGGTTCGATCCCTACCCTGTGGATGTCTGTGATTATCGAGATGTTGACTACCTCGCCTGGTACGCAGGACGTCGTGGGTTCCATACAGACCCTGACGATGTCTGTGATTATCGAGATGTTGACTACCTCGCCTGGTACGCAGGACGTCGTGGGCTCCATACAGACCCTGACGATGTCTGTGATTATCGAGATGTTGACTACCTCGCCTGGTACGCAGGACGTCGTGGGCTCCATACAGACCCTGTGGATGTCTGTATCTATCGAGATGTTGACTACCTCGCCTGGTACGCAGGACGTCGTGGGCTCCATACAGACCCTGACGATGTCTGTGATTATCGAGATGTTGACTACCTCGCCTGGTACGCAGGACGTCGTGGGTTCCATACAGGCCCTGACGATGTCTGTGATTATCGAGATGTTGACTACCTCGCCTGGTGCGCAGGAGGTCGTGGGTTCGATCCCTACCCTGTGGATGTCTGTGATTATCGAGATGTTGACTACCTCGCCTGGTACACAGGAGGTCGTGGGTTCGATCCCTACCCTGTGGATGTCTGTGATTATCGAGATGTTGACTACCTCGCCTGGTACACAGGAGGTCGTGGGTTCGATCCCTACCCTGTGGATGTCTGTGATTATCGAGATGTTGACTACCTCGCCAGGTATGCAGGAGGTCGTGGGTTCGATCCCTACCCTGTGGGTGTCTGTGATTATCGAGATGTTGACTACCTCGCCTGGTACGCAGGACGTCGTGGGCTCCATACAGACCCTGACGATGTCTGTGATTATCGAGATGTTGACTACCTCGCCTGGTACGCAGGAGGTCGTGGGTTCGATCCCTACCCTGTGGATGTCTGTATTTGTCGAGATGTTGACTACCTCGCCTGGTGCGCAGGAGGTCGTGGGTTCGATCCCTACCCTGTGGATGTCTGTGATTATCGAGATGTTGACTACCTCGCCTGGTACGCAGGACGTCGTGGGTTCCATACAGGCCCTGTGGATGTCTGCTGCTGCTGTAGATTTGGAGTTTGCGTGTCTCTCATCATCATCACAGTGGCTATGAGATGTTGACTACCTCGTTTGGTATACAGGACGCCGTGGGTTCGATCTCTACACTGTGGATGTCTGTGATTATCGAGATGTTGACTACCTCGCCTGGTACGCAGGACGTCGTGGGCTCCATACAGACCCTGACGATGTCTGTGATTATCGAGATCTTGACTACCTCGCCTGGTACGCAGGAGGTCGTGGGCTCCATACAGACCCTGACGATGTCTGTGATTATCGAGATGTTGACTACCTCGCCTGGTACGCAGGATGTCGTGGGCTCCATACAGATCCTGACGATGTCTGTGATTATCGAGATGTTGACTACCTCGCCTGGTACGCAGGACGCCGTGGGCTCCATACAGACCCTGACGATGTCTGTGATTATCGAGATGTTGACTACCTCGCCTGGTACGCAGGATGCCGTGGGCTCCATACAGACCCTGACGATGTCTGTGATTATCGAGATGTTGACTACCTCGCCTGGTACACAGGAGGTCGTGGGTTCCATACAGACCCTGTGGATGTCTGTATCTATCGAGATGTTGACTACCTCGCCTGGTACGCAGGAGGTCGTGGGTTCGATCTCAACCATGCCTGCAAAGGGACTCTCGACTCACAAACGAGTTCGGTTCCAGAGAATCAAAGTGGTAGTTCCACTTTGGGGCAGTAACCACAGCGGTTTGTACCACGGGACGAACTCGTCCCCGCCATAGCAATGTGGAATTAGGTGAAACCAGGAGGTGCAGGCCGGAGGACAGCGGAATGTCGCGCTCACTCATCGGGCGAAAGTGAATTTCAGGCGGCTTCAAACGCTGCGATTCGTGAGAACGGGCGTAGTGACGCGCAGGGAGATCGTGGTGGGTGGGGAGAGGTGGGTGGGGAGTGGTGGGTGGGTACAGGTGGGTGGGGAGTGGTGGGTGGGTGACAGGTAGGTGGAAGTGGGTACTGCTGGGTGACAGGTGGATGGTGGTGGGTGGGTGAGAGGTGGGCGGAGGTGGGCGGAGGTGGGTGGGTGTAGGTGGGTGTAGGTGGGTGGGTGACAGGTGGGTGGAGGTGGGTGGGTGACAGGTGGGTGGGTGACAGGTGGGTGGAGGTGGGTGGGTGACAGGTGGGTGGAGGTGGGTGGGTGACAGGTGGGTGGTGGTGGGTGGGTGTCAGGTGGGTGGTGGTGGGTGGGTGACAGATGGGTGGAGGTGGGTGTAGGTGGGTGGGTGACAGATGGGTGGTGGTGGGTGGGTGACAGGTGGGTGGAGGTGGGTGGGTGACAGGTGGGTGGAGGTGGGTGGGTGGAGGTGGGTGGTGGTGGGTGGGTGACAGGTGGGTGGGTGACAGGTGGGTGGAGCTGGGTGGGTGACAGGTGGGTGGAGGTGGGTGGGTGGAGGTGGGTGGAGGTGGGTGGAGGTGGGTGGGTGACAGGTGGATGGAGGTGGGTGGGTGACAGGTGGGTGGTAGTGGGTGGGTGACAGGTGGGTGGTGGGTGACAGGTGGGTGTAGGTCGGTGGGTGACAGGTGGGTGTAGGTGGGTGGGTGACAGGTGGGTGGAGGTGGGTGGGTGGAGGTGGGTGGAGGTGGGTGGGTGACAGGTGGGTGGAGGCGACTTGCCTGGTCTGCCGTGGCTGCGAGGCTCCTGTCAGCCATCAGCAGCTCCGCCTTGAGCTCCACCAGGTCTCCCTCGTACGCGAGGTTACACAGACGCTCATTCGACACTTTCGCCATCGCCACACGGTCTAACAACACCACCCACTATCACCAACACCACCCACTACCACCCACTATCAACCACCAACACCACCCACTACCACCCACTATCACCCACAAACACCACCCACTATCAACCACTATCAACCACCAACACCACCCACTATCAAACACCAACACCACCCACTACCACCAACACCACCCACTACCACCAACACCACCCACTATCACCCACCAACACCACCCACCCACTACCACCAACACCACCCACTACCACCACCCACTACCACCAACACCACCCACCCACTACCAACACCACCCACCCACTACCAACAGCACCCACTACCACCAACACCACCCACCCACTACCACCAACACCACCCACCCACTACCAACAGCACCCACTACCCACCCACTACCACCAACACCACCCACTACCAACAGCACCCACTACCACCAACACCACCCACTATCAACCACCAACACCCGCTCCTTGTTATGTTTCCTCCCACGTGGTGGTGGTGGCGACACTGGACACGTGGTCTGGACACGTGGTACTTGCCACACACTCCCTACCCAATATGGCGGCGCTTCAGGCCTCTGTTCTTCTCTCTCCGTCTCTCTCTCTCTCTGTGTGCTGTGAAGGGTCGTTGCCCGAAACGTCGCCTACTAAACCACCGGATGTTTCACGCCGGAAGTTGCGGTGACGCCACACCCCCGTACATTTACGAAGCAAATTTAAACAACGGCAAACTAAATCTTATAACGTGCATAACACGAGCCGCAGCTGTCGCTCATCTAGATTGTAGTTAGCTTAACAATATAAGCATCCCCATTTATTGTTAACTTGAACAAAATGTAAATATTAAAAAATATATAACGGACGTTCCTCTGACGTCACTTCCTGCGGAATTTTTTTATAAACTTCCGCCGGAAATGACCGACCGGTAAATTATTATTTTAATACAAAATCGTTCGGCGAGCGCAATAACCAAATTATTTTTTTCTTTTCACCACAACTTTATTGGCGATCTTCGACTCATCGCGCTGAAATTAAAAATAGTCGCGATTTGTTCGAATGCGGGGTTTAAAAAAAAATGAACTTCCGGTTCAACCCCCCCACCCAACCAAACCCCACCCCTCACCCCCCCTCCCACAATCCACTGCGGCCGACCCCGGTGGTGATCGCCCCTCCGCGCAGTGTGTGAGGTAAAAAAAAGTAAAAACTCTGAAGCGAACTCCACAATTCGTGACTTTTTTTCGTTTAAAAAGAGGAAAAAAAAGACAACTCACGAACTCGCCTCGTAAAGATGAACTTACGAGTTATTTCGATTTTTTGTTCAATAAAAAAAATGTATAAACAACACCCGCCCGCGTAGTGGAGTCGGGATGTGTCGATTTTCGATTCCGACGCAATCGATTCGCGGTTGCTTTTATTAAAAAAAAATATTAATGAGTAATTAAGAGAGTTTCGCTTTGTTCGCCTCTCTCGTTCAGCGTTGTTGGTGCCCGCGGTGAAGCGCTCGCGGTCTTCGCAAGCCGTGTACCACAAGGCGTAGCCGTAACGAGGCGACGCGCAACCGATTTCTCTAATCGTCGGCGGAATCGATTCCCAGGTGGGTGTGGGTCTGTTAAAGGGGCCGTGGGCGCGCTGCCCAACCTCATACCCTGACCCCTGACTCCATACCCTGACCCCATAACCTGACCCCATTCCCTGACACCATACCTTGACCCCATACCCTGACCCCTGACGCAATGCCCTGACCCAGTACCCTGACCCCATACCCTGACCCCATTCCTTGACCCCATTCCCTGACCCCAGCCCCAAAAGCCTCACTTTAAACCCAAACCCCTAAACCCAAACCCCTAAACCCAAACCCTAAACTCAAACCCCTAAACCCAAACCCATAAACCCAAACCCCTAAACCCAAACCCATAAACCCAAACCCCTAAACCCAAACCCCTAAACCCAAACCCCTAAACCCAAACCCCTAAACCCAAACCCCTAAACCCAAACCCCTAAACCCAAACCCCTAAACCCAAACCCCTAAACCCAAACACCTAAACCCAAACACCTAAACCCAAACCCCTAAACCCAAACCCCTAAACCCAACCCCTAAACCAAAACCCCTAAACCCAACCCCTAAACCCAAACCCCTAAACCAAAACCCCTACACCCAAACCCCTAAACCCAAACCCCAAAACCCCTAAACCAAAACCCCTAAACCAAACCCCTAAACCCAAACCCCTAAACCCAAACCCCTAAACCCAAACCCCTAAACCCAAAACCCTAAACCAAAACCCCTAAACCCAAACCCCTAAACCCAAACCCCTAAACCAAAAACCCTAAACCCAGCCCCTAACCCCAACCCCCTAACCCCAACCCCGCTAACCCCACCCCTAAACCCAACCCCGCTAACACCAACCCCCTCCTAACCCCAACCCCCTATTCGCTAAACACACTTTCCCTACCTGAACCCTAAACCCAAACCCTAAACCCCAACCCCTAAACCCAAACCCTAAACCCCTACCCTAAATCGAACGCCCGACCCCTAAACTCAACCCAGAACTCTAACCCCAACCCCCGCTAACCCCTAACCCCAACCCCCGCTAACCCCAACCTCCTAACCCCAACCCCGCTAACCCCAACCCCCCCGCTAACCCCACCCTCCCTATTCGCTAAACACACTTTCCCTACCTGAACCCTAAACCCGAATCCTACCTCCTAAACAAATCATCGAAGCGCAAATTTCCGTCCCTCGCCTCGCCTCGCCCCCCCCCCCCCCCCATAATTAGCGTTGCCAGGATTTCTAGGTAGCGGGGGGGGAGGGGGGTACAACAACAACCCCCCCCCCCCCCCCCGCCCCCCCCCCAGAAACGGAAGTAATTAACGGGGAAACTTTGGATTTGCGAGCGCGATTCGCCCCGGAAGCGTGCTCGTCATCCAAAGAGCACTCGTATACCGAGGCGAATATAGCCCCGTGGGAAACAGGATGGATGATGATTCGTTAAACAACCCAACAACAACAACAACAACAGAAAAAATATTCACGTACAAATGATGAATTACAAAAATACCGTACACTTTTAAATAATTTTTATTTAAATTTTTTTTAACGTGAAGTAATTGATTGTATTCATTGCAATTTTGATCGTGGCTGGTGTGAGGCAGACGAGAGAGAGGAGGGTTATTGTTGTGTAGGACGACTTTCAATTGCAAGTACAGTTTACTAAAGAACAGTCACTACACTTGGACACAAAATTAAAAAAAAATGCTTTACGCACACACACAACGTGGTCACAACACTATAGTACTGTAGTAAACAGTATACACGTGGTCACAACACTATAGTACTGTAGTAAACAGTATACACGTGGTCACAAGACTAGTACTGTAGTAAACAGTATACACGTGGTCACAACACTATAGTACTGTAGTAAACAGTATCCAGGTGGTCACAACACTACTGTAGTAAACAGTATACACGTGGTCACAACACTATAGTACTGTAGTAAACAGTATACACGTGGTCACAAGACTAGTACTGTAGTAAACAGTATACACGTGGTCACAACACTATAGTACTGTAGTAAGCAGTATACACGTGGTCACAACACTATAGTACTGTAGTAAACAGTATACACGTGGTCACAACACTATAGTACTATAGTAAACAGTATACACGTGGTCACAACACTATAGTACTATAGTAAACAGTATACACGTGGTCACAACACTATAGTACTGTAGTAAACAGTATACACGTGGTCACAACACTATACTATAGTAAACAGTATACACGTGATCACTATACTATAGTAAACAGTATACACGTGATCACAACACTATAGTACTATAGTAAACAGTATACACGTGGTCACAAGACTATAGTACTATAGTAAACCGTATACACGTGGTCACAACACTCTAATACCATAGTAAACAGTATACACGTGATCACTATACTATAGTAAACAGTATACACGTGGTCACAACACTATAGTACTGTAGTAAACAGTATACACGTGGTCACAACACTATAGTACTGTAGTAAACAGTATACACGTGGTCACACTATAGTAATATAGTAAACAGTATACACCTGGTCACAACACTATAGCACTGTAGTAAACAGTATACACGTGGTCACAACACTATAGCACTGTAGTAAACAGTATACACGTGGTCACAACACTATAGTACTATAGTAAACAGTATACACGTGGTCACAACACTATACTGTAGTAAACAGTATACACGTGGTCACAACACTATAGCACTGTAGTAAACAGTATACACGTGGTGACAACACTATAGTACTGTAGTAAACAGTATACACGTGGTCACAAGACTAGTACTGTAGTAAACAGTATACACGTGGTCACAACACTATAGTACTGTAGTAAACAGTATCCAGGTGGTCACAACACTACTGTAGTAAACAGTATACACGTGGTCACAACACTATAGTACTGTAGTAAACAGTATACACGTGGTCACAAGACTAGTACTGTAGTAAACAGTATACACGTGGTCACAACACTATAGTACTGTAGTAAACAGTATACACGTGGTCACAACACTATAGTACTGTAGTAAACAGTATACACGTGGTCACAACACTATAGTACTATAGTAAACAGTATACACGTGGTCACAACACTATAGTACTATAGTAAACAGTATACACGTGGTCACAACACTATAGTACTGTAGTAAACAGTATACACGTGGTCACAACACTATACTATAGTAAACAGTATACACGTGATCACTATACTATAGTAAACAGTATACACGTGATCACAACACTATAGTACTATAGTAAACAGTATACACGTGGTCACAAGACTATAGTACTATAGTAAACCGTATACACGTGGTCACAACACTCTAATACCATAGTAAACAGTATACACGTGATCACTATACTATAGTAAACAGTATACACGTGGTCACAACACTATAGTACTGTAGTAAACAGTATACACGTGGTCACAACACTATAGTACTGTAGTAAACAGTATACACGTGGTCACAACACTATAGTAAACAGTATAAACGTGGTCACAACACTATAGCACTGTAGTAAACAGTATACACGTGGTCACAACACTATAGTACTATAGTAAACAGTATACACGTGGTCACAACACTATACTGTAGTAAACAGTATACACGTGGTCACAACACTATAGTACTGTAGTAAACAGTATACACGTGGTGACAACACTATATAGAAGTAAACAGTATACACGTGGTCACAACACTATAGTACTGTAGTAAACAGTATACACGTGATCACAACACTATAGTACTGTAGTAAACAGTATACACGTGGTCACAACACTATAGTACTGTAGTAAACAGTATACACGTGGTCACAACACTATAGTACTGCAGTGAACAGTATACACGTGGTCACAACACTATAGTACTGTAGTAAACAGTATACACGTGGTCACAACACTATAGTACTGTAGTAAACAGTATACACGTGGTGACAACACTATAGTACTGTAGTAAACAGTATACACGTGGTCACAACACTATAGTACTGTAGTAAACAGTATACACGTGGTCACAACACTATAGTACTGTAGTAAACAGTATACACGTGGTCACAACACTATAGTACTATAGTAAACAGTATACACGTGGTCACAACACTATAGTACTGTAGTAAACAGTATACACGTGGTCACAACACTATAGTACTGTAGTAAACAGTATACACGTGGTCACAACACTATAGTAAACAGTATACACGTGGTCACAACACTATAGCACTGTAGTAAACAGTATACACGTGGTCACAACACTATAGTACTGTATTAAACAGTATACACGTGATCACAACACTATAGTACTGTAGTAAACAGTATACACGTGATCACAACACTATAGTACTGTAGTAAACAGTATACACGTGGTCACAACACTATAGTATTGTAGTAAACAGTATACACGTGGTCACAACACTATAGCAATGTAGTAAACAGTATACACGTGGTCACAACACTATAGTACTATAGTAAACAGTATACACGTGGTCACAACACTATAGTACTGTAGTAAACAGTATACACGTGGTCACAACACTATAGTACTGTAGTAAACAGTATACACGTGGTCACAACACTATAGTAAACAGTATACACGTGGTCACAACACTATAGCACTGTAGTAAACAGTATACACGTGGTCACAACACTATAGTACTATAGTAAACAGTATACACGTGGTCACAACACTATAGTACTGTAGTAAACAGTATACACGTGGTCACAACACTCTAGTACTGCAGTAAACAGTATACACGTGGTCACAACACTATAGTACTGTAGTAAACAGTATACACGTGATCACAACACTATAGTACTGTAGTAAACAGTATACACGTGATCACAACACTATAGTACTGTAGTAAACAGTATACACGTGGTCACAACACTATAGTATTGTAGTAAACAGTATACACGTGGTCACAACACTATAGCAATGTAGTAAACAGTATACACGTGGCGACAACACTATAGTACTGTAGTAAACAGTATACACGTGGTCACAACACTCTAGTACTGCAGTAAACAGTATACACGTGGTCACAACACTATAGTACTATAGTAAACAGTATACACGTGATCACAACACTATAGTACTGTAGTAAACAGTATACACGTGATCACAACACTATAGTACTGTAGTAAACAGTATACACGTGGTCACAACACTATAGTATTGTAGTAAACAGTATACACGTGGTCACAACACTATAGCAATGTAGTAAACAGTATACACGTGGCGACAACACTATAGTACTGTAGTAAACAGTATACACGTGGTCACAACACTATATAGTAGTAAACAGTATACACGTGGTCACAACACTATAGTACTATACTAAACAGTATACACGTGGTCACAACACTATAGTACTGTAGTAAACAGTATACACGTGGTCACAACACTATAGTACTGTAGTAAACAGTATACACGTGGTCACTATACTATAGTAAACAGTATACACGTGGTCACAACACTATAGTACTATAGTAAACAGTATACACGTGGTGACAACACTATAGTACAGTAGTAAACAGTATACACGTGGTCACAACACTATAGTACTGTAGTAAACAGTATACACGTGGTCACACCACTATAGTACTGTAGTAAACAGTATACACGTGGTCACACCACTATAGTACTATAGTAAACAGTATACACGTGGTGACAACACTATAGTACTATAGTAAACAGTATACACGTGGTCACAACACTATAGTACTGTAGTAAACAGTATACACGTGGTAACAACACTATAGTACTGTAGTAAACAGTATACACGTGATCACAACACTATAGTACTGTAGTAAACAGTATACAGGTGGTCACAACACTATAGTACTATAGTAAACAGTATACACGTGGTCACAACACTATAGTACTGTAGTAAACAGTATACACGTGATCACAACACTATAGTACTGTAGTAAACAGTATACACGTGATCACAACACTATACTATAGTAAACAGTATACACGTGGTGACAATACTATAGTACTGTAGTAAACAGTATACACGATGGTGATGATGACGACGATGATGACGACGACGATGATGACGACGATGATGATGACAACGACGATGACAACGACGACGACGATGACAACGACGATGACGACGACGTCGTCGTTTCGTGTCGCCCACGCAGCAGGACGGACCAACGGCAGACGCAAGCCG